ATATATATATATATATATATATATATATATATATATATATATATATATATACATGCATGCATGCATGCGTTTATATATGTATGTATATACACATGCATGCATGCATGCATGCACAGTACGTTAGTAACACACTTTGGGGCTTTGCTGGGTGGGGGAAAGAGCCCTAGCTGCTGCCGCTGCTGCAGCAGCAGCAGCAGCAGAAGCAGCAGCAGAAGCAGCAGCAGCAGCAGCACATAGAATTAGAATAGAGGAGACAGGAGAGGAGACAGCTCAGACAGAGAAAGAGATAGAAAAGGAGACAAAAGAGACAAAAAAAGGAGACAAAAAAGGAGACAAAAGAAATAAAAAAAAACAAGAGAAACAGAAGAACACAGAGACAGAAAAGGAGACAAAAAAGGAGACAGAAAAAAAAAGAAAAAAGGAGACAAAAAGGAGACAGCTGTTGTGGGGCTCAAACAAACTGCAGCAGCATTTATACTTATATTTAATTTTATTTTTTTTCTTTGTCAATAAAAAATATAAAATATATATTATATATATAAATATATAAAAATATAAACATATTGCTGTCTCCTTTTATACATAGTTGTCTCCTCCTTTCCTGTTTTTTTAGGGTTTAGGGTTTAGGGTTTACACATTTGTTTAGGGTTTATACATATATCTCTGTCTCTTTGTTTCTGTCTCCTTTTTTTTGTTTTATATATTTGTCTCTGTCTCTCCTCCCTTTTTTTATTTGTGTGTCTGTCCCTCTTTGTTTCTCCCTAGGGTTTAGGGTTTAGATAAGGGTTTAGGGTTTAGATAAGGGTTTAGGGTTTAGATTAGGGTTTAGGGTTTACATGTCTCTCTGTCTCCTCTCTTTGTCTCCCTTATGTTGCTATACAGATAGATAAAAATCAACATATACATTTATACAAAATAAATAAAATAAAATAAATAAATAAATAAATAAATAAATTAAATAAATAAATATAGTAAAGTTGGTCTGTGTTGAGTTGTCTCCTTTTTAAGGAGACAAAATAACAGCAGCAGCAGCAGCATGTGTTGCTGCTGCTGCTGCTGCTGCTGCTGCTGCTGCTGCTGCTGCTGCTGCTGCTGCTGCATCACCTGCTGCGCTGCAGCACTGCTGCAGCAGCAGGAGAAGCTGAGCAGCAGCAATGTGTATTTCTTTTCTATGCTAAATAACCAACCTAAATAAATAAATAAACAAAATAAACAAAATAAATAAATAAATAAATAAATAAATATTTATAGTGGGTTCCTAAACTTCTCCCCTGCATATGTACACTTCCCCTGCTGCTGCAGCTGCTCCTCTATCCTCATAAGTTGATTATATTTAGAGTTTCTTTCGCTTCTGCATGGTGCCCCTGTCTTTATTTGTCCTGTATTTAACCCTATAACTAGATCGGCAATGAAGCTATCTTCTGTCTCCCCTGATCTATGTGACACCATAACCCCCCATTTATTTTTTTGTGCTTGTATACACGCGGAGATAGCTTCGGAGATAGTCCCTATTTGGTTTATTTTTAGTAGTAATGCATTACATGCTGTCTCCTTTATTGCTTTTTCTATTCTTTTTGTATTTGTTACCAACAAATCATCGCCCACTATCTGTACTCTGTCTCCTATCTCTTTTGTCAGTACACCGTAAGAAGCAAAATCATCCTGATCGAAAGGATCCTCGATAGAGACAAGAGGATACTCATCTGCCCATTGTTTATACACCTGAAACACATATATATTTATATATATATATATATATATATATATATATATAGAGAGAGAGAGAGAGAGAGAGAGAGAGAGAGAGAGAGATGTATATGTAGATGTATATATAGATGTATATGTATATAGATGTATATAAATGTATATATATATATATGTATATATGTATATATATACACAAACACAAAGGAATACTCTATAGACACCAAGGGATACTCGTCAGGCGACTGCTTATACACCTGAAACACATGCATATACATATACATATATACATATACATATATACA